TATCTGCCTGGCCCCTGTTGACCAATTGAAGCTGATCCTCCAGGGCGGGGCTGGACAGCAAGTTCTCCCATCGCTTTACAGGGGAAAGGGTGTGGGTGGTGGGTGGTCTTGATTGAATTTACACTCACGTATGTTGTGGCGGAGGGCTCCTATCTCTTGGCACACTGGGCAGTTCCCACTGTATTGAGTGGGGAACATATGCGACTGAGTAAAAGGGGGTGGGGTAAGGACCCGAACTGAATTTTCCTATACGCTACCAGTTCCTCCAGCGTTAACTTAGGATGCGGGGCTGGCAGTCTTCGCCTTTCTTTGCAGTAGAATGCGACTAGTATTTCCTATTAGGTGACCATGGGTTGGTCCTGCACCTCTTCCACGGCTGTGGCCCGGTAAGTCAGTGCACGGGCCTGCTGGTGAGGAAGTTTGTTGCCCTCTACCACGGAGGGGGCAGGTACCCATTCAAATTCTATGGGCTCCTTTGGGGGTCTTTTGTTTTTGAGCACCTGCAGCGCTTTTCAGGACACCAAGCTCGACTGGAAGCTCCGGTATGCTTGGTGTGAGTCGGTGATTACCCTGGTTGTGCCTGGCCATAGGTGACCCCGTCTTGTTCCGCAATGCTTCGATTACTCTTTTTGCTAGTGTATTTATGTACCAGTTTTATTTCACACACAATTGTTCTCACTGTTTATATTACTTACCAGCACTGTAGGTGTCAGCCACCTGTCTGTTCATGTGTTGATTTTTTGTATTTTTCATGTACTTCCCCCCCCCCCCCCCCCCCCCCACACACACACACACTCCTTATGTAATGCTCCTGTTGGGGCCTTTAAAGTTACAATAAATAAATAAATATATATATATATATATATATATATATATATATATATATATGTATATATATAAAAGCTGCCAGCAGCATTGGAAGAATTTAGGAGCGGGGGTGGGGGCAACCAGTTTGAATTCCTGTGCCGACGTGACGCCACACATAACTTGAGCACATTATATAACATTCCCACCCATCTGATCGGCATTCCTAATCAGTTTTATTTCCATATGTTCAGTGACATAGTATTACTTTTCCGTACTTCTCACTGCAACGTTTTCATGGCGAGCATACTGTTCCCAGCTGCAGATCACGACAGCCGCGCACAAGTAGCGAGCCTCAGTTTGGGCATCTAGGACGTAGTACGTAGCTGTTGCGCGTCTCGTACGCACTGCAAAATCTGCGCGATCCGAACTTCTTTCAGCAAGCGCTGTGACCCAAGGGGGTATCGGAGGTCGAGTGTGTTGGCGCACCGCAGCTCGTACGGCGAAAGGTCCCCCTGCCAGGGATCCCCACCCCTACCCGTTTCGATCTGTTGTGGGGCACAGACCTCAGGCTAGCAGTCGTACTGTAGTGGCTAAATTTTCTCATCTACAGCCTGAAACGGTGTCGCCAGAACCTAGACAGGCCGATCGCACGCTACTTAAAATAGCGAACGTCTTATTTTCTTCCGCTGTGCCCAAAATGACGACAGTGCATGCGATTGAAAGACCAGCGGACAGGCTACCACTCTTGCCTTCGAATCGCTCGGGAGTCGGGCACCTGCATTTGCACCATGATCGAAGAACCAGAAAGAAGCGATGTCAAATCACATCGACACAGAATCACTCCAAGCTTCCTTGCTTGTGCCTTTCAGCTCTGCGCGCCGTCAGCCGTATCAACGCTAATCACAATTAATTAACGCCTGCCGCGCGCGTTCCGCCGCTCATACAAACAACAACAAACAATCAGGGTGTTATGCCGTTATGCTGCAGAAAGTTACTTCCGCCAGTTTTAGCGAAATGCGGAGCTCAACTCCTGCTCAGCCGACGTTATTCAAGGTATTGAATTTGGCGTAAGGGTAGTGTGTTTGGGGTATGCGAAAAAGACTACGGTATTGACTATGGCGTACGCCGAAATGACTACGGTATTGATTTTGGCGTACGCCAAAACCACTACCGTAGTCGGAGCGGAGGGGTAGTGAGATCGGCGTCCTACACCGGAGCTCGCGCTTGTAGCTTTGGCTGCGTCTGGACCGAAGCTGAAACGAAGTATAGGTTCGAGCCCCACCCCTGCCTATTTCCATCTGGATGAGCATCGTATACCGGCGTGCGGTCGTTTATCACTACTGCGTGAGCACGTATACGTTAAAAAAAAAAAAAAAAAACACCTAGGTTAGCAGTCGTACTGCATGCACTGGCAAAATTGCTCATCTACAGTGTAAACCAGTGTCGCCCCATCCAAGCAGACCGACCTTACGCTGTAAACACTAAACGTCCAATTTGACTTTTTTGACTTTGCTGTATTTGTAGCAGTACAAACACAGCAGTCCAGGCTTTTCGTGCAGGCAAGAACCAACTTAACCATATCACTAATTTTCGTTACATGCTTATACAATTGATGCTTTATTATGGCATGTCGAAAACGGACGAGGGTCTAAGAAAAAGACTTGTTAAGTCGAGTTACCACAGCTTTTTTTTTTACAGATTGTAGTGTATTGTGGTAGAACGGTGGACAGCTGCTCTGGGGAAGTAGATAGACAAGTTGTGATGCTTATTCAATTTGAGATATTCATCCGGGCATGTGGCGGCTAGCGCTGCAAGCGCGCCTTTTGATATATCTGACTGGAATCTGTAGCGCGTATAAAACTCCAGAAAAAACTTTTAGCTCAGTACACAAAAAAGCTGGATTTCCCTAAATAAAATAACCACGCTGCACTTTTTTTATTTTTTCACGCGTTATTTGACGTAGCTTTTTGAGCCTGAACACAAAGTTTAATATACTATACAGTGCAGTCAATGTTGTCCTTTTTTTTTAAAATATTTTTGCGGGTCATATTGCGGTGCTTGCTTCTACTAGAAGTACTTTTAAGACGGGGTCGCAGTGCAGGTATCAGTCACCACGATATTCATGGTTTGAATGCCATGCGACATTCGAAGCTCATACCTCGTGGTGACTCGCGTTGGAATCTGTTTGCAGACTGTCTTTTGTATAATGTATAAGCAATGTCACCCAAGCTTTAGGGGAAAGAATTATAGTGGTGAGATACGACCACCTCGCAATGATTTCGCCATATTTTTTTTTTAAACTTCTTGATAATTGTAGGCACGGATTCAAAGGGTGAGGCGTTATGTTGTAAATGACTCTTTTTGGGCACATGCAGCGTAGACCACCGTATCCCGTTATGCAGCTTGTGATCTAACTTAATTGATACGCAAACAGACAATGGGATCTCAAGAAAAAATACTTCTGGTTTATTTATAAATTCGAACCTTGTTCCAACCTGCTTTATTCGGTATTCTAACTTCCAGCCTGGTTTATTTACAGATTCCAAGCCTTGAATGTTTAGATTAGACGCGAACTACTTTGCGATGCAGTGGCCTCGAGCAGCTTCTTTCGATACGCTAGCCTGTCTGTCATAGTCATGTCCATGTTGACCAGGGATGGCCGTACAAACTTTTCGATTACAATCCAAGATTGTTTTGTCTCGTGGTCATCTCTTGTGGCGCAAATAAAACTCCAGAGAGGATTTAGCTTCGTACAGAAAAATTATATATATATATATATATATATATATTCCCGAAAAAGAAACAACAGATGCTATATTTTTTTGCGTAATTGCGTAATAATAAATAATAAAAACATAAAAGAGGACAACACGGACTGCTCTATATAAAGGGTGGTGTCCCAATCAGTGGCATCAATGGGTTCAGTGGCACCCGGAGCAATGGTACTCCGCGACTCGCCCCCCCCCCCCCCCCCCCCCCCCTCCCCTTTGTGACGCCACTGGTCCCAAGTCACCAGGCTGGATCTAAAATGAACCGTAAAAATCGACGCCTGCATGTAAAAATCTAAACTTTTCGTCACAGGTGTAATTCACCAGGTCTGGTTTTCTTGTAAAATTAAAAAAACGTAGCTCCCGTCCGGTAAAAAAACAACAACAACAAAAAAAAAAAAAAAACGAGTTAAGAAATTTTTCAAGGTCTAAGGCGGGCGGCGACGCAGACAGCCAAGTCGAGTGGTGGGGCTAGGGAGGCTAAATATATTTTTGACGAAAAGTTTGGATTGCAACGTGCAGGCGTCGATTTTTACGGTACATTTTAGAGCGAGCCTAGCGACTCTAAAATGTACCGTAAAAACTCGTGCTCAGGCTCAAAAAGCTGCGTAAAACAACGTGTGGAGATAAAAAGAAGAAAAAAAGTGCAGCATGATACCTTTTTTATTGAAATGTATTTAATTTTTTCTTTTTCTTTTTTTTTATGAAAGGAGCTATTTTTTTTTTCTGGAGATTTATACGCGCCACAGAATACAGGAAAATATATCAAAAGCCGCGCTTGTAGCGCTAGCCAGCAACATGTCCAGATAAATATATAAAATAAATAAGCATCACAACTTGTCAATCCACATCCCCACAGCAGCTGTTCACCGTTCTACCATAAGAGACAAAAATAATTAAGTAGAAGCTGTAGCAGCTCGACGTAACAACTTTTTCTTGGACTCTACTCCCTCGCTGAAGCCACTGAAACGGCAAATTCGATACCTAGGTTGAGAGCGCCTCCCCGCGGAGACACGCCGCCTCCTTTTCTTTTTGAGATTAGACCCCCCCACTGATCTCTATGACAAATAGACATAGAGATCAGTGGACCCCCCGTGCACGAATGGGACGACCATAGAGTCACTAAATAACTCTAGACGACCATAGAAGCGTTCACGAGATTGATCACGGAGATGGCTAGGTGGCGCAAGCTGCCTTCTCATTACAAAGCGTTTCTCAATCCTCCCAAGCCCTGCCCGAGCCCGCCGAATCCGCATCAAACAGGTCTTTTATTTTTCGTTTTATAGGAATAAAGTGTTTTTATTCCACGTAATTTTATATCTACCTGCTGAAAGATATTTGCGGAAGATTAAAGGAGTGTGGTTACTTCTAATCTTTATTGTTCCTGTAAAAGACGTTATCAAAGCCTTTTTAAAAGCTTAGTCAAATCCAATCCAATTCAATCCAAACTCACGTGCACGTCTGCACGCCGTGTTCGTGAGGTCTGTTTTTTGCGTGAATCGCGTCCCGTTTTCGTCCGAAAGGTGGTAGTACTTCCTTATTTCTTTCGATCAGACTAGAAAAAGGACCTTTGCGAACTTTCCGCGCTAACTACCGTCTCTGGAACGCGGCAACGCTCGCCGAGGCAAGTCAGTCGTTCCGGCGTACCACCAACCGGCGAGCAATCGGGTCTGAACCAGCATGGCCTCCAAGCTCGTCAGCTCGCGCTTGCTCTCCCTGTGCTCGCGCTACGGCGGCTGCAGCAGGCCGCTGTGGACCGTTCCCCAGCGCTCCCCGACACTCGTAGTCGGTGACTCCCGCCGCACCCTGACCCAATGGAAGCCGACAAGCGTGCTGTTCCGTCCCGCCGGCCTCTGGAGGCCCTACTCGACGCCGCAGTCCGAACCGGACTCCAAGGACGAGCTCCACAACATCATCAAGAACACGGAGAAGGGCAGCGGTCCGAGCGAGAAGCGAGAGTTCCAGGCCGAGACGCGGATGCTGCTCGACATCGTGGCGAAGTCGCTGTACTCCGAGAAAGAGGTGTTCGTCCGTGAACTCGTCTCGAACGCCAGCGACGCGCTGGAGAAGCTGCGCTACCTGAGGCTGAGCGCCCAGCTCGAGCACGAGGCGCCCGATGCCGCCGCTTCGCCGCTGGAGATCCACATCGCCACCGACAAGTTGGCCAACACGTTTACCATCCAGGTAGGTCGCAGTCTTTGCTCGTTGCGGACTTTTGGTTGGTCCGCGGTTCTTCAGGCTGTGTTCAAGCTGTGCCTTCCAGATAACACTATTGTTGTTGTTTGAAGGTGAAGAACTTGTGTCTACGAAATGAGAATGTAGTATAACTTCTGAGGAAACTTCTATTTACATTGCAGGTGGTAAGTTGCCATGTCTTCCCCTCTAGACCCCTTTTCATAAAGGAAGGGTTGGCTGTTGTTGTTGATAGTCTAGGAGGAACTTGAATTTGGTTTATTCAGTTGTTTCAGTCTCGCAACGCATGAGCGTTGCAAGACACAGCCGACAGCAGGATACGAGGGCAGGTGTACCCTTGTGCCGGGCGCTCCTTATCACAAAATTTTGAGGTGGAAAGAATGAATGAACTACGTGTTCAAAAGGAAATGGGTATCTGTACGAATAGTGTTGGGGAATGCCTCGTTTGAATGCTCTTCATTTTTGCACTGAAGCCAATTTGGGGACATTCTTAAATAGTCAAATCTGCAGAATAACTCATCCAAGCTCAGTGGGCATGCCTCTTTCTCTCCAACTCTTCTTTTCACTTCACCTGGTAACATGCAAAGAGGACAACGCTCTCTGTACAAAGCTGAAATACCGTCTGGAACATGCAATGCATCTGGAGAAGGAGCCCCAAAATACGGGTTCTGCCCGCGCGCACGCAGGACACTGGCATAGGCATGACGCACGACGAAGTCGTCGAGAGCCTGGGCACCATTGCGCGCTCGGGGTCCAAGGAGTTTCTGCGCAAGCTGACCGAGGCTGGCGACACGCCGGCGTCCAGCATCATCGGCCAGTTCGGTGTCGGCTTCTACTCCTGCTTCATGGTCGCCGACCGGGTGGAGGTGTTCACGCGGTCGCGACTGCCGGATGCCCGGGCGGTGCGCTGGTCCTCGGACGGGTCCGGAGTGTATGAGGTGTCCGAGGCGGAGGGGGTGGAGCACGGCACCAAGATTGTGCTGCACTTGAAGCCCGACTGTGCCGACTTTGCTGACGAGGAGGCTGTGTCCAAGGTGGTCCAGAAGTACAGCAACTTCGTAGGCAGTCCGGTCTTCTTGAACGGACGCCGAGCCAACACGCTCCAGGTAAGATTAGGTTGCTGCATTACCAACACCTTGTTGCTGTTTAGGTTTTTGGCCTCCGAATGTTCCACACAGTAAGGCTTTTTGCCCCACTAATGTTTTGCGGGCTGCGCTCTGCTCAGTGACGAAAAGATGTGTGGTTGGAAGGATGGCTGTGGCTTCGTGCTTTGTAGTGAGCAGAAAACTTAACCCGGAATCATAGTACACACTCCTGCCAAGTTTAGCCCGAATTTCGTCTGCCATTAAGTCTAGTCTAACACATCAATTTTTTGGGTTATTTCGCACTTCCCTAGACTTTTTCCATCAGTTCCTTATCCTCTTGGGATTGTAATCCTTTCTGTCCTTTGTACTTTCAACAAGTCCTGGCACTCCCCCCAGGTCTTTTGCACTGTCCTTTATTTTCTCTTCCTCTGTTTCCTTCTAATTTCGGCATACTGCACACCATGTGTCCATTCCCTCAAACTTAGTAAATGTATGCAAAAAGGAAAGGTGGCTAGGTAGGGTCACTCATCTGCGACCAACTTCTGGCCAATAGTTCACGACCCCTCGCACTTGCAGGCCCTGTGGCTGTCGGACCCAAAGGAGGTAACGGCGCAGCAGCACGACGAGTTTTACCGCTACCTCTCGGGCGCATACGACGTCCCCCGCTTCACTCTCCACTTCCGTACGGATGTACCGCTGGGCATCCGCTGCCTCCTCTACATCCCCGAGGGCAAGCCGGGGCTCTTCGAGATGAGCCGCGAGTCAGAGGTGGCCGGCGTGGCCCTCTACTCACGCCGTGTCCTCATCAAGCCCCGCGCCGAAATTCTCCCCAAGTGGCTGCGCTTCGTCAAGGGCGTTGTCGAGAGCGAGGACATCCCCCTCAACCTGAGCCGCGAGCTCCTCCAGGACAGCGCGCTCATCCGCAAGATCCGGTCGGTCATCACGAGCCGGCTCGTCAAGCACCTGTCGAAGAGCGCCGAAAAGGAGCCCGAGAGTTACGCCCGCTTCTACCGCGACTACGGAGTCTTCCTCAAGGAGGGCATCCTGGCATCCCACGAGCAGGCCGAGAAGGAGGAGATTGCGCAGCTTCTGCGGTTCGAGTCTTCAGCGCGTCCGGCGGGGGAGACGGTCACGCTGGCGCAGTACTGCGCAGGGATGAGGGAAGGTCAGCGGGACATCTACTACCTGGCGGCTCCTAGCCGCCAACTCGCCGAGAGCTCGCCCTACTTCGAGGCTGTCCGGTCCCGCGACGTCGAGGTCCTCTTCTGCACCGAGCCATACGACGAACTGGTCTTGGTACAGCTGCGGCAGTTCAACCGTCGGAACATCACGTCCGTCGAGAAGGAAATGCGGAGGGATGCAGAGGCCGCCTCCGAGGAGTCCGAGGACGTCAAGGCGCTGTCGGAGTGGCTCCGGAGCGAGCTCGCTCCGATGGTCCACAAGGTCAAGGTGACGCAGAGGCTCCAGAGTCATCCGTGCCTCGTGTCCGTGGAGGAGATGGCGGCGGCGAGGCACTTTGTCAAGACGTCGCTGCAGTCCTTCTCGGAAGAGGAACGTTACCGTTTGCTTGAGCCGACGCTGGAAATCAATCCGGACCACCCGATCATGGCCAAGCTAAAGACGCTGAGGAGTTCGGATCCAGCTTTGGCTAAGAAGTTGGCTAGGCAGGTGTTTGGGAACGCGATGGTGGCGGCCGGGCTTGTGGACGATCCAAGGAAGGTGACTTCGGAACTTAACGACCTCCTTGCCTCTTTGCTTGAGAAGCACTGAGGGCTGCCGGTGTCTTTTGGAGCCTAGCATCTTTCAATGAGGACATTCTTGGTTAGTTTGTGAAGGGGAGGGAGGTTACATTATTGCATCAATTGTATTCATGTAAAATAAAGAAGCTTCCATGTAGATAATAAACCTAATGAAAGTTTCATGTGAGACAAATGTCTACTTTAGGGTGTTTGAAAAGTACCACATACCCTTAGTGATAACTGACTAGATACCTGTGTCAAAGTACTAGCCCCATTACATTCTGTTACATGTCACCGAAATGTGAGGAATAAGCAACATGAGAGCAAACGTTACGTTTCTTCATTTTAAATCACAACACAGGAAGTAGCTCATGTACTATGCAACAAAAACTAAAGGCAATTAAACCTGCTCGCTTTGGGAAAGAAGGAGTGAGGATACTGGGAAGCAGTTTTCTACAAGGCAGAATTCTTTTCGGTGGTTCGGCCTAAACAAGGAAACCAGTAACCCAGAACCCTTTACACTGCTGGGTTGTAAGTTCACCATTGGTTCGAGTTATGTACCACTTGAAGCAACCTTCGTGGCAGATATTGGAATTATTTGGACGTTTCTTTTGCTTCTTTGCAGGCAAGTGCGCGCTGTGGAGTGCACACTGCACATAGTGCAATTTGTTCACGGTACTTCTACAAAGTGCGACATGTTTCATGCGCAATGTGTACCACATGACGTTGAATCCCGCAAGCATGATTCTCTGGCCACAGGTGCACTACACTTGCGGCAACCGTTGCCTCTTCTATCACGGGAACAGAACTTGTACCAACAACTGCAGACAGCTGTTGAAAGGTCGCATCTCTAGCGAAAAAAAAAGCTTCTGATTAAGGCTATATATACATGTGTGCAACTAAAACTCCTTATAAAAAGTCTTTTTTTTTCTTTATTTTGGGAAGTTGCAGTTTACTCCTCGTTCCCCAAGTGGGCATGGTAAACCCGTTGACCCCCAATTGGGAATGGTGCAAGCCAGCTGACCCCTCAGCTGGTCCCAGCTGAACCCTTATTGGTCCCAGCTGATTCCCGGTTGGGACCAGCTAGTTTCAGCTGAGACCAGTTGAGATCCCGACTGAAATTTTCGACTGGAAAGAGGTAAATTTCAGAGAGGCATGGGAGTTTTCCAGTTGTCGAAGGAAAGAATTGATCGCTTGCAGCGGACCGAATCCGTGGATGTCATCGGTATAGCGTCGGTAGAAGAGACGTTTAACTTTGCTATATTTCAGGCACAAACCTGCGTTCCACGGGAGGTGTGTAAACACGGGCGACGAATCATAAGTAAAATAACAATGGAAAGGAACGTAGAGTGGGTTCAAGCTTCGCAAGCACTGGGGTGAGCAGTTAAGAACATTCAAAACGTGAAGAATAAAGTATGTGGGCTATGCAAACTGCATATATATATATATATATATATATATATATATATATATATATATATATATATATATATATATACATACGCTCGAAATCTTTGAAAATAGGGAAAAGCCAAAAAAAATGTGCCCAATAAAAACTGTTTGTCACAAAAAAATTATAATATTAAATAATATATATATATATATATATATATAAACCGTTCGTCACAAAAAAAATCTGATTTTCTTTTGTGACAAACAACTTTTATTAGGCACCTTTTTTTGTGTGTGTGTGTGGGGGGGGGGGGGGGGGGAGGGGGCTTTTTTTTATTTTTAAAGATTTCGAGCGTGCGGGTGATGTTTTGAGTGCAGAACAAGCATATCTTCAGACATGTGCATGCACGAGCAGAGAGAATAAAGCAGTAATTTATTGCAAATCTGACTACATGAACTTGAATCCCGGAGAAGAGCTCACCCACTTTTGTGCGGTTCAGGAGAAAAGCTCAGCGGAGAAAAGTCTTTTGTGCGGGTCAGGAGAAAAGCTCACCTCAAATTAAATGATTACGTAAAGTGGTCCTTCTTATTTTATAGCGGCAGTGCTATCAAGAGCACTTTTTCGCATTTTATTAAGAGAAGGGGTTGATTAGCGTCGAACTTTTATCCGCGTAAAGGTTCTCACCTATCTGTTCAGCCCCGCACACCACCACCTGCGCCTTTGGAAGTGCAAATAAAATTATCATTAAATTATTATTATCATTAAAGGGTGATTCACACACTTGCGTCGAGTCCGGCCGAGTGGAACTGCAACCTCTCACGTAATTATGGAAGTTATTGTTAACTGTGTTCCTTTTTCTTTTCTTTTTTAAAGCATAGCTTTGTTGTTGTTGTTGAAAACATATTTTATTTCAGGAAAGGAATGGGAAGGGGGGTATCGGGACTAGAAAAAGATAGGAGATCTTGATCGAGGAATAAGTTCTGGCTGGGTGCCTCTAAACCGAGGTTTCCAATCGCGGCTTGCACCACCGGCGCTCTCCGTTTGTGACAATAGAACTATACACTCTGAGCAGTACGTATATATAAGACGCATCACTACTTAAACTTGTGGTTATTGATTCTTTTCTTTTTTTTTTTTTTTGCATTTCGGCAGTAGAACATATAGTTCTGCTTCCGTGACATTTAGAAATCGTACACAGATTTGGAAATCAGGGTGACCGTTGAAATAAAACAAAATCCTATGCTCTAAAAAAAACAAAAAAACTTGGCACTTTAAATGGCTGCTGATTGTACCGCGAACTGGTTAATTTCGTGTTTTTTTTTTTTTTTTTCGCACAAAAAGATGAGACATTTTTTAAAGTGAGTACCTTTATTCTTCAAAGCACGCAACGCCATTTCGACTTGTGGTAGATTATTTCGCAACAGTATGACACAACTCCATAAAAGAAATGTGTGGCATACTTCGTTTTTTTTTTTTTTTTTTTTAATGACGATGTCAACAATTTACATGCAATCTGGAAATCGTATCGCACGAAAAATCTCGGAACGCGAAATAGCCGAAGAACGGAGCCAAATGTTTATCCGAAGTAGAATCTGGTGGCGAAATGAGGCGTTCTCTAACCCCGTCTTTCCCTTCCTAATCCGGTCAGAATGGGACAAAGGACCTCCTTTGCGATGGCCTTGGACCGACCACACCCTTCCCCTCTATCCTCCTTTTGAGCTACGGAACAAAAAACAAAGCCTTTCTCAGATTGCAGAGGGAGAAGAAATCATACTTTTGGTTCTTAATTTCTAGGCTAGGTTGCGCAAGCTACCGCCCGTTATGAAGGGTACAGCTGTTAGCACCCATCCATCCATTCGTCCAAATGGACTTCTTCCAAAACCGACGCGCCCCATCGCGGCGAAATATCACGCAGTGCACTCTGGGAACTAGTTGGCCACTCAGTTTCGGTTTCGACGGAGCAGCTGCATCTCATGCTATCACTTCGCGACCGAACGCGCTGCTTGCGTTTTAGATTATTTGACTTTTCACGCTCGAGCGATACAAAACAAAAGAGAGTTTTAGTAGATCGTTCCGATACCTCCGATAGCCCCGATAACGATACTATGCATGCGCAAGGGAGGCGGTGGCGGAGTATCGGGATATCGTTATCGGAGTCATGGGAACGATCTACTAAAACTCTCTAAAGACCGGGGCACTTTCCTTGGTTCCCGAAACACCGCATATTGTGCGTGCGTATGCAAACGCAGTAAGTCGTGGCTTAGTCACCTCACCCCACGAGTGCATGTTTGAGCTCAATTTCAATAATCCCGTCTATACTTCGTTTCAGCTTCCGTCCGAGCGCAGCCAAAGGCTGAGGGACGGTTCGCAACTTCGAGAAGAGCATTCCTACGCACCACAAAGTAGTTCACAAAAGTAATTTCTTTTAAAATAACTGCTTTGTGCATAGAAACTGCACAATCTTCCAGATGTGTACTGCTGAGAATGATTTGAAACTAAAGGAATCAAATCTCTCAAGTTTATGTTTCTATTAATATATGTAAATGCATGTGGTTTGGCGAAAACATGTATATCCGCTGGCAACACGGCTGCAGCGCTCGGTTTTTCTGTGTGATTTCGTTCCCGTAATCGCCGAATCATGTTCTTCGCTGCTTTCCTCACCGAGTCGCTTCAAAACGCCCTTTAGCAAAGGCACGTTTGGGCGTCAGGCGCGAGAGGTCGTGATGAATGTCTACTTTCAAATTCGGCAGGAGACTCGATCCGGACGCGTCGTACCGCGAATGCATTGCAAACAAGCAAAGCGTCCAGGCCACTGCAATTCAGATACGCGGCGAAATCAGGGCACCCCTTTACCTGCCGATCACATTGAACGCCGAGAAGCTGGTGGAAAGGACTGCGCCTCGAGCCCTGGTATATCCAAACAATACAAGGAAACATCAACGGCCGGGTCATCGGGGAAATTGCAACGTGTACTTACAACTCGAAACTATGCCGAACAAGTGGAAAGCTCGGACACAGATGCCAGCGGCCAGCCTACGTACTGACATCAACTGTGGCTAAGTTTCAGAAAGTGAAAGGGCACTTTTTAAACCTGTAGCAGACGATATCGTTGATACACCCGTAGCAGACGAAATACTCGGCGAGCGCGGACGGCGCGGCCGACCGGCGGCGCAGCGGAGTGATACAAAAGTGCAGGCGAGATCGCGTGACCTACTGCCGGCGTGTGATTGGCTCCGGCCACACGTAGCTTTGGCTGCGCTCGGACGGAAGCTGAAACGAAGTATAGTACCAGTGAACTAAAACTGAAATTTGTTAATCTGGGCCTTACACGTATTTTGTTTGCCCAACGGCCGCTTCTTGTTAGTTCATTGGGCGAAAAGCAAGCCGCATCCTCACAGGGCATCAAAGTTGCGTTCAGCGTTTACGCATGAACTTTTAAACGCAATAAATTCGACCTCACCACTGCACAAAAGTTACTATGATGTCTTCCTCCGTGTCATCATATATCTCCCACTCAAATTTTATGCTGATAAAAGATTAACATTTCGCAAACGCTGAGATCGGCTAGCTGCGACGGAGGCCCTAACAAGCGTCCCCTACTCCTCGCTAAGCCTTTTTGGACGAGCTTTTACTTACGCCCAAAATCTGTGCCTTAACGGTTTGACTGAAATTATCACGGCATACTCAGGCAGGAAGAAAGCAAACACATAACAAATATTAAGGCCATTAGCAACCGTCAAACGCGCTTTGAATTCGTTCGTTTTGCGCACCGCATAGGGGTTCGTGCCCGTCCGGC